GCTTGGGCTCCCCCCGTGCCAAGAATTAGCGGTAAGCTGGGACAATTAAAAGGCTCACTTTTCTTGTTTTCCACCTCTCTGGGATTACTGCCTTTCATTACCCATTGGTCAATGTCTTCATATATTCTATTCAGTTAATTAGTTATTTCATTCAAGAAGGTCAATTCAGTCCTTGTTACTTCATCTTGTTTGGAAAGGAGAGTCTTCCCAAATCCCATCTGACAGTCTGCTTCCTGGGATCATCCCTAATACTCTTAGAACTCTCCTAAGCTTGTTCCCAGGAACCAGACTCTGGCACTACGGGGCTTGGACACTCTGAGATTTGCATGCATTATGCTTATTAGTGAGTGTTGTCGGCGATAATATCTATAAGGGAAGCAGGATTGGGCAGAAGGAGAAGGTAAACTGCAGTGCTGTTGTAACAGAGGTTTTCACTGATCACAAGAGAAGTTCTGGGGAGGGAATCACCTTTCGGAGTTGCCGCAATTACATTGTATCCCCTCCCTGACACACACTAGTGTGACACAGGTAACTCTCAGGACAAGGGTGTAACATTGGGTCCGGTGAGGCAGCTTCTTCTGGGGGCTACGGGTGGGGCCTGGAAGGGAGTGAGTGCCTCCGTCCAGAAAGCGGACCTGGAACAGCATCACCGCATCTGATGGGGGGATGATTGCGACATTGTCCAAAGGCAGGTTAATTTGCATCCCGATGAAGCGTTTTGTGCAGTCAGGAAAGCTATTGCTTCTTCTTTAAGCAGCTTATCAAAATGAAAATCGTTTTTCAATTAATATTGCATTTTCTTATCCCCCATTTTTAAATAATCTCTGTTCAGAAATTTTTTTCAAAGACCGTTAAAACTCTGAGTTAAAGTTTACCCAGAAAAATGAGGTGGGTCAGCCGGTTTTATATCTACAGGATCCAAATCCTCTGTAACAAGTGTAGAGACTGAATATTAGGGGACACAGCTGAATCTAACTAAGCTTTGCCTTCTATACTCCTTTCAGTGCTGTATGGTAAACATGTATGCGCTCTCTGTTTGAAGGAGGCAGCGTAGCAGAGAGCTCAGGAGCCTGCTCTGTGAAGCCAAACTGCTCGTGTTCACATTCTGGCTCCACTCCCTCTGTGCTTTGGACTTTGGGCAAAGACTTTGCCTTTCTAAAGTTTACTTTCCTTGTCTATAAAATGGGCAGATTGCAGCACCTTATAGTGTTGTGATCATGGAGGGTGTCAGATACAGGATAATGCGCTTAGAAAGAGCATGGATCTAGAGCTGGATTGCAGGGGTTTGAATCCGGCCTGACCAGTTACTAACTTAATTTAACCAAGGGGCCAGGACATAAGCAATGAAAAAATAAGGCTTCATTATAGGAATTTTAAAAGGTGAACAAATAAAGCTCTGTGAAAAATAAAGGAGAAGGATATTAATTTCCATGGAAACATGAAAAGAATAGAACTTGAAATGACAGTTAAGATTAACCTTACGCAGAACATGTAAAATTCACACTTTCTCATTTGGTGGGTTAAATTCCAAGCAACTTTATAATTTACCTAATTGTGAAGAGGTGGCTGAGGAGCACCCTCTATATAATTCCCCATGGCTGTGGAATCAAGCATCTGATGCTGCCTGGAGTTACGGCTTTGAGAAACCGAAATGCTGCCCTTTTAACCTCCCCACCTGCCACCTCCCACCTGCCCCAACCGGGTTCCAGTCATGCAGGACTTCCAGTAGTGGAGGGAGAAGTGGTTGCCGCAGCTCACTTCCCCATGTAGGCAGATCCCCAAGCAGAGAGACTTCTGCCTATTTTGTTTCTGCTGACGTAGAGAAGTGGGTATTTCTAACCACTTCCCTATGGAGCAGGAGCTACTGTTGCCCGAAGCCAGCTATCTCTTCCCAAAAAAGGAAGTGTAGATTGGAGAGAGGCTCTATTCTGGGTAGCTCTAATAAAATATAAGCCCTGTTTCTCAGTCTTTGGAAGTTGTCAAACAGCAATAGAGTTTGGAGATCCCTAGACTTAGGCCCAGCACAATCATCTGAACGGTCACAGCATGGATCATTCACCTAGAGTACTGGAGAGGACACAGGCTGTGGATTGGCCAATCTTCCTCTGCCACCCACCACCTGTTCCATGCCAGGCAATTCCCATTTTTTCTCTGCATTTCAGTTTCTTTACCTGTTGAAATAACAACAGGAGCTATCATTCTGTGAGTGCCTAGGATGTGACAAGCACACACATCTGAAGTATTATTCTTCCCTTTTCACAAATAAAGGAAATGGAAGTTAAATAACTTACTCATGATTACTCAACTAACAAGAGTCAGTATTTAAATTTAAGTTTACATGTAGTAGGCAGTCAATAAATCACAGCTAATGTTTTTATTCTAAAGTGATATTAACCATGGTTATAAGAATATGGGTTAAAATAAGAAAAAAAAGCAGCTATAGGACCAATTGTCCTCTTTGCACTGGCACATAAAAATATCATCTTAAGCTTTCTTAAGAACATATTTGCCTGTTATAATCATAGCCTGACCAGAGCTTTACTCCAGAAAGAAGAGAAATGCCATTTATGCATGCTGCATTCTTAATGTAATAAAGGAGAAAGAACATTGGACTAGGAATTAATAGGCAATTTATACTTGTCCAAAATTTTTTTATGATTATCTAATTCCATTTTGATGACAACGCTATTATTTAATCCTAATTTAATAGGCGTTTAGAAAGCAGGCTTTAAATGGAGTAGTGATCTATTTAGCTTAAACTGGCACTCTTGACTTTGATGTCTTTAGTCCAAATACTATCAGTAAGTAGCCCTGCAACTTTTGGCATTTTGTTTCTCTTGGCCTGGGATTCTTTATCTATAAAATATGAATGAGATATAGATCTTTTGATTTCTAAGATTTTTCTTCTCTCATTTTCTTGGCTTCTTGCAGCCATTAACAATGGCTTCAGGGATGGCCCTTGTTCAAGATGGAACTTACATGTCTATGGGGTTGGCTGCTCAAACTTGTGTTATTTTTACCCAAGAGTCTTTGTATATGCTTATGGCAATACATTTGATTACTCTGATAATATTTGCTATTAAATAAAATTTTTCACCAAGTCCTCTACTTCATTCAGGAGAGTTCTCTGGAAGTTCCAATCCTGGGATAAACAAAGACATCTCAAGATATCATCGCTGTCTTTATATAGTAGATGTTGGCAGGGCATTCTTGCAGTCATAACATTGACATGCTGACTTTGAATTTATTTATTTTTTCCATATAGAAATACAATGATGTTACGGTCTGATTGTCATCTATGTAACTTCCAATAAATAAGATTGGGATAGTCTAACAAAACATAAGCTATGCTGAATGGAGAGGGTTGGACATTCAGTTGTCAGAGAAGTTGAAGGGTTTGCTTTGTAGGAAGCTCCTTCTCCCCAGCCCAGGTGGGACTCTGAGCATGTGCCCAGTTCCAAGAACAGATGGTATTTCTTTTATTTAAAGATGCTTAATTATTTCTAGCTCATGGGAGAGACCAACTAGTAGCAGGGGTCTTAAACCTCAGGGCTGTGTGTTAAATCTCTCTGAAGGGAGGTTATATTGAACCAGCACAATATTTTGCTTTGTTTTGATGCATCTAAAAGTTTTTCCAGTCTAAGTATTTTTTAGTTAAGCATAGGATCCACTACTCTATATTTAGCTGGCTGCCTTCATAGATTCATGTTATCTGTCTGCTCCTTGAAGGCAAGCGGCCTGTCATGTCTGAGAGGGGTCCCTATTTGCTGTGCTTTCATAGTGTGCTAAACATGTTACATACATGTTATTTATTCTCAATACAGAACTGTGAGTTAGGTGTTAGCACCTGTGTTTACAAACGAGTAACTGAGGCTCAAAGGAAAGACCTAGCCCTAGCCCAAGACAAAATAACTAAGAAATACCACCACTGGTGGACTGAGCTTTAAGCTTGAACCCTGATAGCTCTCAGTTTCCTTGGCTCTGTGTGGGCTCTGGTTCCAGTGCCTTTTCTAGTGAGTCTGTCAAGGGCTACTGGATTCTGTGACTTGGATTTATTCTTTCATACGAAGAGTTAAGGCACACTACTTGTGTCATCACAGACATCATCCTCATCTAACCTTCAGCGACTAAGGGTGTGGTGATCTTGCCTTCCCTGCAGGGGTCCACCTACACCCATTGTATTCATTTCTGGATCCAGGGTTTTAGAGCCCTTGGTAAATTCAGTGTGTCCATAATGTCTCCTTAGTAATTATTGAAGGAACTTATTCTGTTCAGCCAAGAGAAGACCTGGGGTGGGACTCGCATAATGGCCATATCCAAAACTGACATCCAAGAAAGAGTCAATCAGCTTATGTCTATGGTTCCTAAGGACAAAGCTAGGCAAAGTCAACCTGACAGATGAACGCCAATCCATCAGGGCTGCCCATCAATCCTGCTGTCAAATCCATGCCCTGTGCCTAGAATCCTACCAAGACACCAACTTCAAGATTTCTACTGGTATGTGGTGACCTGAGCTCTCTAGGCAGGTGCTTGTGTCCCCACTGGCGGCAGCCTGCAGCCCCATGCCCAGCCCCGCACCCAACCGCCCCCTCCCCTCCCCGTCACTCCCCAACCCCCTCCATCACCTCCCTGTCCATCACACCCCTACACCGCCCACCCCGCGGGGAGCCGAGCCTGCCTGTGCTGCAGCCGTCTCCTGGCAACGCAGACGCCGAGCCGAGCAACTAGACGCTCCGTGGTCGGAGCTCAGCCCTGCTGGGCCGGCCTCTGTCATGACTTCCAAACAAATCAAAAAGAAAGAGGTGCACCGTATCAACTCGGCGCACGGATCGGATAAATCTAAAGAGTAAGAGACCTCTGCCTGTCCGGCCCTGCCTTCGCCTAGCCCCTTGGGTGGCAAACTGCCAGGGCAGGAGTTTAGCGGCCTCCTCACAGCTTCTCTACCCTCCCTGGGAAACCAGACCCTGGAGGTGCTGGCTCCCTTTCCTCCCCCTTGCCTGTCTTGACCCACTTCCTTTCCCAGAGCGCCTGGTTTTCTTGCTTTGGATGCTCAGCTGCACTTCTGGCTCCCTTGGGTGAAACTCCGGCCCCCCTCCCCCCTTTAATAACCTATTGAAGCAGTTAGAAAGGTTGTAGCTTCCTTAAGAAAGGCATGTCTGGAAAGACTTCCAGTTAAGGTCACATCTGCCTGGCCCTAATAAGGAGGGAGGGAGAGAGAGAGAAGAGAGAGAGAGGGACAGACAGAGATGTTTCCCTAGTTTGTATCTGCCTGCTCCAGCAAGTAAGAACTTTAATTAGATAAAATCAGACACAAAGTGGCTTCAAAAAGTGAAAACAATATAAATATATAGTTCATATTGCTAATGTTTACTCTGAGGACCTACACAGATCCTAGCTCACAGAATCTTTATGGTACCTGTCTGTCCTGGGCTGGTGTTAAGTGTTGTGTATTTGTATGTGCCTGCCTAGCATTATTATTTTTTCTTTGGTCTTTTATTTCCCCCTAGAGTTATCCAGTTATCAGTAGCACAGAATTTGAGCTATTGTTTGAACTTCTAAAATTTCCAAAATTCATTCCAGTTGTGAGAGAATGATTCCAATACCCTAGCCTCCTCTCCACTCTCTGGAACACATCAGGCTTGTTCCCACCCCCAAGGCCTTTGCATCTGCTGTTTCCTCTGCTGGAAAGCTCTTCTCCCCAAATATCCATATGGTTTTCTCCCTCACCTCTTTCAGATGTTCACCAAAATGCCATTTTCTCCTATCAGCTTCTTGGGCCACTTGAGTTAAAATTGCAACCCCCCACTTCCCTGGCAAAACCAAAACCAAAACCAAAACCAAACAAAAACAAACTCCCTGTCTTTCTTCACTGCTTTATTTTTCTTCATTGATTTTTTTTGTTGTTGTTCATTTAACATATTATATACTTCACTTTTAAAAAATTATGTTTTTTCATTTGTCTTCCCAATAGAATATAAGTTCTATGAAGGCAGAGATTTTTTCCTTTTGTATTTTATACACTATCGAATCCTTAGCATTTAGAGTGGTTCCTGGGTCATACATAGTAAGCACTCAAACATGTTTATCAAATGGTTGAATGACAATAATTAAGAGATAGTAACAGGGTTGCAAGAGAATTTTGAATACACCAAAAAAAACCAAAAACCCTGTGTCAATGTTGATTGTAATTAATGTATGTTGAAGTCTTACAACTCTTTCAGAGCTTGCAGAAAATCTTCAGCTTTAAGAAATTTATATGCTGAAGAAGATGAGATTGTTAATTGCCATAAAGATACTGATCAAACCAGATACCATAAAACACATTATGTGACCTAGTCTTATGATGGTTGTATCACACCATAGAGATAAAGTTCCTGCTTGTTAAGAAGCTAACTCTTCCCTTGCTGGAACTTCCCATTTCTTTTTGAGACGATAATATATTTCTAACATGTTTCTTTTTTCCAGAAAATATCTGAATTAATTATACCCATAAAATGTATGTATATATTTATGAAAATAGAAGAAGAAGGGCAAATAGTTATTTTAAAAGCTATGATTTTCTAGAAATGATTAAGCATTAAATACCAAATCATTAGATTTTGCTGTAGCATTAAATGATAGGATGTGAAATTCATTATAATTCAAGTCTATCCTTTAACTAAAGAACTAATCATAGATACCAGGCTAAGTCATAGACACAAGACAAACAAAGTATCACCCAGTGTGAGGCACAGGGATCAAAGTCTAGCAAGGCTCTAATGTGATTGTCATTTGAAATATAGTGGGGTGATTTAGAGTAAGTTTTTATGTCATTTTACCACACCTTGTAAATGTGGTTACAAATCCAGTAAATGCAGCCAACTCTAACATGGTCCTGGATACAGAAATAAGAGAAACAAAATCTTCATAGTCTTGAAAATGGCCATCCCACAGAACCTAGAGCTGCCATCAGTATCATCTTTTTTTTTTTGCCCTATGTCAGACTGGGGATAAGGACCATGTCTATTTTTTGCCTAGTATGCTGACTAGCATATAATAAGCACTTTCCATTTGTGTATTAAATGAGCTCGTAGTTTAGTTACCTACCTTGGTTTTCATTCCTTGTGAATTTGATTGAAAATCAAATCTCCTTCCCTTTCCTATTTGATCTGCCATTGGCCGTGTTCAAAACCTGAGAGGTTGCAACTGATTACAGCAGAATCATCTATATCCATCTATAACTAAATTCATAAGTAAATATGACTTTGAATTAGCAAGAAAAATATGTCAGGTAACTGAGCTATCAGTTTTGACATTAAACTATTTCTATAGTTCTGTGTTCTCTAGTTCTCGGTATCAGCCAGTAGGAAATCTCCATTCTAGGGTTCACACTGGCATCAATTCTTCTGTGACATTGGACAAGTCATTTTTTATTCTGACATTTGGTTTTACCTTCTTTACATGGAAGACCCTCTAATTAAAATTGCTCTCACTCCAAAACTCCCTGTCCTCTGTTCCCTACTTTGTATTTTCCTCCAGCTCTAAACTTCCATGATTGTAAATGATTTATTTTTTTTAACTTCACTGGGTCCATAATAAGAGAGGGAATTTTGCTATAGTAAAATGTTTAAAACCATGATTTAATTGATTTTTCTTAGTTTTCATCTTCTTTTAACGCAACAACTTATAATAACTGTCACAGATTATACCTCTCATTATCAGTATGTATCTTAGTTTGAGCTGCTATAACAGAATACCATAGACTGGGTGGCTTAAGCAACAAACATTTATTTCTCACAGTTCTGGGGGCTAGAAGTTCAAGATCAAGGTGCCAGCATGATTGTGTTCTGGTGAGGGCCCTCTTCTTAATTCACAGATATCTGTCCTCTTGTATCCTCATATGGTGGAAAGAGAGAAGACTAGCTCTATTTCTCTTATAAGGACACCAATCCCATCCCGAGGGCCCCAGCTAATGACCTAATTATCCCCCAAATGTCCCATGTCCTAATACCATCCCACTGGGTGCTAGAGTTTCAACATATAAATTTGGGGGAAACACAGATATGCAGTCTGCAACAGTATCCAGTGATAATTAGCAATTATAAACAAATTTAAATTAATTGATAAATCTAATTGATTTGAAAACTAATAGGTAAAGATTTTTTACCAGTTAGATGCCACCGGAAGGATTCATATTGATGTGAAGACAAAAGGTTGATCTTCTTAGAAGTACTAAAAGTGAGTTTTTGTGTAGATCATGAATAAATCAAGAGGGACAAAAGAAAATATATGATTTTTATATTAACAGTCATTAGAAGTATCAATGCATATACTTTATACACTAAAATATATGGAACTTTAATGGACACTTTGAGATAAGGGCACACTTTGGTGTTTATAGTCATAAAATTTTTTTCCACTTCTAATAGCACATTCTAACCAAGATTGAAAAACAGGAAATCTGTTAAACTAGCATGAACCATACAACCTTCTAGATTTGTAATGATGAAATATCATTAAACTTCTTTCAAAACCAGAATGTAATATATTTCACAATCCTCAAGTTAATCTATCTTTATGACTTAAATGCACATCAAAATTTTATAGAATTTTCAAAAAAGATCAACATATCTGTGTATATGAAATTTGAAAAGAAAACTATTATTGATACAAAATATGAATTATGATTAATACCATGAAAGCAACATAAAATAAAGGAATAAATATCATACTGAACATTAAATTAAGTGAATTCTTGGTTATCTGAGGTCCAAGAGAGCTGATTCAATAAACCAGGCAGAGAGCCAGACACAGTGGGGAGGTGCCCTTTATAGTTTTAGGCCTCGTATCTTCATGGTCCGCACTGAAAGGCAGAGGTAAGAGGTGGACCCTGGAGTAAACAACTCAGGTCATACTGAGTTCTGCAATTTCTGTAGGTGACCTCTGTGGACCTCAACAACTAAACTCAATTAACCAATTTAAAAGATCAACTTCAGTGACAGAAGCTTCCCCAGAGGAAAGCCTAGTCTTCATTTTCATTTCCCAACTATATATTGAGTATTTCTCAAGCCTAAGTCACTGGCAGGCCCCAGATAATAAGGAATTGTAAAACATGGTACCCTCTATCAAGGGATTTGTAATCTGGGGCTGGGAGAGGAGGACTAAGATTCATATAGAAGTAACTAGGATACAGGGTAATGTCACATTTGTCAAAGGGAACTTATTCCATAGAAGGAATTATGTGTTGGCATGAGGTTAGATTAGAGAAATCCAGAGACTCCTAAAATGAGGGCTATATGAGTTAGAGGAGAGAAAGGTCACTTCCAAGAGGAACTGATCTGTCATCACCTCTCTCCAACAGCCACTCCCCAATTGTGAAAGGCACAGGTGAGTGGGATGGTTAGTGCAGGCAATGGGAATGTTTGGGGCACAGAAAGTCATCCAGGTTGGCTTGTAAATCATCTAAGGTGAGTATGCAGCAGAATGAGAAGAATAAGGAATTCACACTCTCTATAGTGGGGAAACACAGATGGTTTTAAGTATCAAAATGTTGATTTCTGAAGCAATTGCATGGAATATATGCTGGATTAAGAATGGGCCATGGTCTTGAGATAATGGGGATGCCTGATTCTGGGCACGCCTGATGGTGGTGAGGAGCAGATGAAAAGGAGGGTGGCTGTGCAGAGCAGATCTGTAAGCAGGTTGTGGTCAAAGCCTACACAAGCCAAGTTTCTGGTCTTCAGCTGCAGTGTAATACACAATGATGATGTCCAGGCTACAATGCCCCCATGTCTGAAAAGGAAAGGAAAAAAATGTGTAAATGAGATTCAGAACAGATTTCTGAATGCCTGGCCTTAGGTACTTTGT